TCATGTCCACACATTTCTGTGCTTGTTAATTATAGGGAAAATCCTGTTGGTGTAAATATATGTTGGAGGTACTGATGATGTCATCAGTTGGCACCAGTAAAATTTAATTTAAATTAATTAAAAGCTTCCTATCCTGTTTTAGGTTCCAAGGCACCCTGATCAGGCAGTGATTTTTAGTGATTAAAGACTCCCCTCCTCCATCCTGAGCTTCCCAAAGGCTTCCCCAGGGCAAAAGGGAGCCTCATAATCTAAAACATGAGGATAGAAAGCTTTTAATTAATTTAAATTAAATTTTACTAATACTAGTGGATGATATCATCAGCTTCAGCCACATAAATTTATACCAACATGATTTTGGCCACTATAAATGAATGTGTAGGAGGGAAAATATGGAATAAAACTCTGATATAGTTTGGAAAACCTTCTCTCACTCACTAAAATAATCCTTACTTACCAGGCAGAAGTACTGAGGCAAGTATCTACTTACACGCTTGGTTTTGTTTTTTAGTTTGCTGTCATTTCCACTGAGCCATGAATTCTCAAGATGATCTCTGGCCAATTGTACTCTCTCAACCTAATATATAAGCAAAATTTCTAGATGGATGGATGGATGGATGGAAGTCTTTAAGATGCTGCTGCACTAAACTAGAGCAGGTAGCTACCCTTCTTTAAGTGATCAAACATATAATCTCACTTGGAAATAAAGGACAAGAAAACCATATTTATCTCATAGTTTCCCACCAAACTGTTTCACCAAAAGACCTACTAGTTGATCATGAATGTTCAGGGTATTAAACTCTGGTGCTTCCACCTGTGTCTGACATGTTATTTTCAGAAGAGGTGTGGGGACACTTTTAGTTTTCTCCCCAGAATTTGCACTAAAGGATCCTATTGGGCCTAATCTTGCCCTCCATGCTGTTTAGTGTCTACATTAAATTGCTGGGAGAGGTCATCTAGAAGCTTGGGTGAAGTGGAGGAATGGTAAGGGATCCTGCTATCTCAGAATAGTCAGCACATGTTGGCTGCTGGCTACTGCATACCCTCTTTCTGCACTGTTTCCTGCTCCCCTTCCCATCTGTGCTCTCATCCATCATTTCCTTAGTCCCAAAAGCTTCATTTTGTTGTTTTTGTTGTTTTTACATGCCATCAAGTTGTTTATGTCTTACAGATCTATAAATTAATGACCATTGAAAGGTTTTATCATTAATAGGCTTGCTCTGCACTTTTCTGAGTGGCTGCTATCTTTTCCAGAGAATCTTGTCTTTTCATAATATGTGCAAAGTGTTATACCCTTAGTTTAGACATGTTTGCTTCTACATAGAGTTAAAATTTACTTTGCTTTAGCATCCACTTATTTCTCTTTGGTATCTCTTTGGCAGTTCTTGGTATCCATAAAGCTCCTTTCCAATAACATATTTGAAATGAATATTCAGGAAAAGGCCGTATGATTGTGGAAACAAATGAGTTTTCTTGTAAGCTTTCTTCATGGTCCAGCTTTCATATTCCTACATAATAACCAATAATTCTGTAAATTAGATGTTAAATAGATGGCTGCAGTCTCCAATAATATGTCCTTACATTTGACGATCTTTTCTAGTTCCTTCATAGCTGCCCTTGCTCTGACCTAGGTGTGTTGTAAACATTGTGAGTCCTTCAAATCCAGTCCTTTCCCCCAGACTTGCATTATGAGGAAACATTAATAAGATTTTTACCCAGGGCTATTAATGATTAATAATAATAAGTGCAAATTACATGCCAAGTCAATTTAAACTTATAGCATCCTTTTTCAGGGTCTTCTATATACGTATACAGTACTCAGAAGTGGCTTAACAGTCCATTCTTCTGAAGATATTCTGATTTTATGCAGCCTGCCCAAGACTACATAGGTGGGTTCTACTACAAGGCACAGTAGGGAATTGAACTCCCGACCCACTGGCTCTGCTGCTAACCAGCCATGGTAAGGATTGCTACCAGATCATGTGTATAAAGTACCTTGAACAGTTGGAAACGGTATAGAAATTTAAAGTTATCACCACCACAACTGCCCTTGTTGTCATCACATCACTAACCACCTTGAATGAATTCCAAATGTTAATTAATTAATTAAATTCACAGGCCACTCAAAAATGAAACACAAGCTTGAGTGGACTTGAAGATCAGTTAGACTTCTGGATTTTCTGCGTCCCCAATTCTGCATTTTTGCATCAAGAATATCTTTAACTGAATCTGTTATTCTTTCATTAGATATACTGTAGAAATATCAATCTATTTTGGCCTACCTGTTCTAATTCTTCCAGCCTTTTCAAAGCACTTTAGCCCTCAGAGCCTCAGTAAAGGTTTTTGGTTTTGCCAGGATTGTTCTTCAGTTCAGCAGGTACACCCTTGAGTTCTGTACTTTCACTTGCTACTGTTCAACCTGTCTTTTAAGGGATTTTGCTCCCTGTTTGAACAACTGATGCTAGCAATTAAACTAAACAATAGATGTGTCTAAAGACAAGTTAGCAGTCCAAGGCACAGTGGAAAAAACAAGGTAAATTTTGAAGACGGCTGTAGCAGTACAAATCTCCTTGGCAGAATGTATGCCATTAGTAAATCTATGAGTTAGTTGGCTATATTTATATTTTGCTTTTCCTCTCATGAGTTCAAGGCAGAATATACAGTTCCCCTTCTCATCATTATAACTTCACAACCACTCAAAGAAGTAGGTCAGGTTGAGAAAGAATGTCTGGTTCAACATTACCTGCTGTTTCATGGCTCATTGGGGGCTAGAATCTGAAAGTCCTAAGTTCTAGTTCGACAAGATTTTCTTGCTGAAAAGCCAGATCGTAAATTTTTTTACTAAGTTTATTGAAATATAGAGAGGTGATATCGCTCTTACTGAAAAATATCATTTGTAAATCTGCTTGAGGGTTAGTTACTTGTTGTTAAAATTGTACTCATTTTATTGCTTTATAGCACAAGTTTCTACAAGGCGGGGGATTCCATTCCTCGCTGTGCCTCCTGAAAGTAGAGCCACCCTGTGTGGGTTTGGACAAGTTGCACAGTCCCAGGCCGTCCCCAGAAGAAGGGAATGGTAAACCACTTCTGTGTATTCTCTACCTGGAAAAATCTGGAAAAAGTAGCCATGGCTCAGGAAAAGAATGGCAAGAAAGGGAGCAGGAACATGTAATTCAAATTACCAATTACCTAAGCCTGGAACAAACTTCCTTAAGAAAGCAAACAGGCAACAGAAGCTGATGGGCTTGTTGCTTGTAATATTGGTTATCTACTGCCCAGATAATTTAAAATGCTCTTAGTCCTTTTAAAAACATATTTATGGATTTGTTATTTATTTGTCTTAAAGTTAAAGCTTGTCCTTTCAGCAAATGCCTTGAGGGCAGCTTTTGATAATTAACGCACTCAGTACAATAAGACAAGAAGCATTTTACAGTCTTGCTATTAGTTATTTACAGGAGTGAGTCCAAACAGAACGCCTCCCTTGGCTGAAGGCCAACAACAACTAGCTGCACACATGTTGGAGGGAGAGAGAGGCCCACCAAACTCCTCTCCTCCCCACTCCATCCACTCTCTACTTTTCTTTGAACTTTAGGCCTGTTTTTTTTTAAAGTCCCAGCCTGCCTATATTTATCTGTGTTGACTGTGAATGGGAATTGGAAAAAGGGAAAGGAGAGAATGGCCGCTGCTTTTTAAAAAGCTAATTTAAAAGCAGGCGCAGTCTTCTGTAAAGATGATTCCGATTGTCCACAGCTCTTTTGAAGGGACAAGGTTAAATCCATTTGTATTCAGAATGTGGGATTAAGCACTCATATGGAATGAACAACATTTTCCTTATTTATTTCATATTTAAATAGGCCCAAGTATAAGCCACTCAATTGCCAACCATTTGGGAATGCCACAGGATTTTCAGCGTTTCTTCCCATTTTCCCTACCTAAAAGCTGTTTATCTCCATGCTGCGTACATTAACAAATTTCTAATACTTAATGTCTTCTGTCCAGTCTCTAAACACAATGTTGAGGCAGGGGAGCTGTATATAGTACATGTAATGTTGTGCTGATATGTAAGGTCAGTCCAGCTTTACTCCAAAACAGTTTGATGGAAGAGAATTAAGTACAATATGATCTATTCCTCTAAAACTGGAGGTATGATATTTTCTGTTTGTGAGAGAGATGGCCCATAGATACATGAGTGAATTCCCTTTTTTAAAAAAACTGAGCTTGCTATTTTCTAGTCCCCCAGAGAAAACAGTGCTCAGACCTGTAACATGGAAGCAGCAGAAGACCTATAATACCTTATGGCTTGTCTTCAGAAACTCTTTTAATATGCAGAAGGGACTGATTATATATGTAGGCTTATCAATGTGTGAGCCTGCAAATCATACCCCAAGCACACTAGGATTTTTTTTTTCTTTTGTGAAGTTTCTCTTGCCAGCTATCAGAACACTTTATCTAATCTTACTTGGAAAGAATATGAAAGAGCTGTCTTCTTTGTCAATTTTACATACAGTCTTTAAGTAGGGAAAGAAACTGACCAGCTTTTTTAAAAGTTCGGAAGAGAGATGCTGGGCTGCACCTGAGAGAGCACCACACAACCTTATAAAATTGATAGCAATAATTTAAATAGAAATAGGGCTATAAAATAGCACTAGCTTTGTTATAGCGGAGAAGAAACTTTATGTTGTTAATGGCATTCCTTTATTGACATTTATACACAGTTCTACCCTATTCCAGGGTACTATACAATAGAAGCATATACAAAATACAAAGGCTGAGCAATTCAACAATAAAAATAAATGCAGCAACAAAATTAAATGGCAAACATCTTTGTAACTATATTAAAATTATATAAGTGAAAGCTTTCGAGGAAGCTGTTCTACAGCTGTGGACTACTAACAGTTCAAGGCTGGTGATGCCAGTGGCCCTCAGCAGCAGCAGCAGCAGTCCTGGTTATGGTTGTTGTGGGTTTTTCGGGCTTCTTGGCCGTGTTCAGAACACGGCCAAGAAGCCCAAAAAACCCACAACAACCATTAGATCCCGGCCGTGAAAGCCTTCGCGAATACATTAGTCCTGGTTATACTTGAGCAAGTGCAGCTTACATAGGAACTAAGGTTACAACAAAAACACTAGGGTGAAAAAAAGAAGACCCCACCAGCACCCTACCTTAATACAGATATTATCTCCTCCTAGAGATGATTTAATGCTTAAATGGAAGGTGAGAAACATATCTCTCGGTGAAGTATGTATTTGTTCCACAGGTGCTTTTTTACACTTCAGTTTGCACAATCAGGAATCACAATGGGGATCAGTATAGATTTCTTGTGACTTTGGATACTTATATGCAAAACTGGACAAAAGCATTTTGGCTAATGAGGGCCAAGTGGAAGTTTGTCTCCCCTTGCCTGGGGTTTGGGGCAGGGGCAACAGATGAGAATGCAATCAGAAATAATGCTGCAAGCTGCAATTTGCTTTTTTTTAAATAACTGGTCCTCGGTGTTTAGCGATCCCTCTACAATAGTCATAAGACAGAACGTATTTCAAGAGCAGTTCATACAGGTTTCCCCCCCCACACACACACGCACACACACAGATACAACCTCTTTGTAGAAATATGTCATATACTATCATGAGTGAAGGCCACATTTTGACAGGTATACATTTCTTACAAATGGCTTGAAAACTCATGATCTGATCCAGCTTAACATTTGATAGATATGGCATGTGTGCATGGCTTTTACACAGCGCCACTGTCCATAAGGTAGGAAAAGTAAAAGGACCTGTGGAAAGAAATATACATTTCAGTACCTCTTGAGAAGTATTTCACTAGTACAACATTGATAAAGACCTGTGGAGAGGAGGGCACTGTACTGTCAGGAAGTATTTTGAGAAGCAATGAATAATACATAGTACATACCCAATTTTCTCCTTTGCAAAAGTGGAAAATTATTTTACTTCCTTTTTTTGTATTTTGTGGCTGCAAAACCCTTTAATTCAGCACTCACAAGGCTTATATTATCACATTTTTATCTATTGTCTATCACACTTGTTTCTTACTCTTTCTCCAAGGAACTCAGGATGGCATAAATATGGCAACTCCATTTTCTGTTCAGAACAACCCAAAAAACCTTCTAAAGGAGTTTTGTATGAGAAGGAATTATTGACTGAAAGTCATCAGGTGACCTTCATGAAAGCAAGGAGATTTGGATGAATTCTTACACTGGAAACAAATGATTTGCTCAGTATCTTTTTAACTTGTATCTGGTAGAATGAAAGACATTGTAGTACGCTGGATTGATGCAGAAAAGTGAGTGTTGTGACAAAATCTACAGTGATCCCATAGATGGAATGTCATAATACTGTATATATATTGATAAGCTATTTTTCTTCACAGTTCATTGTAGACAAAGAATTTCCCTTGTCAAAACTCTGACCTGAGAATCAGAAACCAACAAAGAACAAATGTTGCATTTCAAAGACAGCCCTATGATCACTTGATAGACCACTAATCACTCTACCTGAGTGATGATATTTATATAATCAACACTTTAAAAGCTTTTGACTTCTGTTATGAATGCTATTGTCACTTCAAAACTTTATTACCTGTGTCTGTTAGCTCATTTCACCTGTTCTCTACCCCCCACAACTATGTATAGAAACCTATGGGATAAATATTTCACTCTGTATGTCGGAAGAAGTGGATTATAATCTGCAAAAGCTCACACTGAAATAAATTTGTTAGCCTTGAAGGTGCCACACTTTTTTGTTTTGTATTTCTGTTTTGTCTTTTTTGTATGCCATTTACAAAAAATGACAAAGTATCTCAAACAAGCGTTTTTGTCATATAAAATTGTGTTCTTTGTCAGCTGTTTCCAATGATTTTATCAAAAGTGGTGCTTGACATGGGATTTCATTTGCACAGTTTTCTCCTGCATTATTACTATGGTTGTTCTGCATTCACCAACCACAAAATTCCTGAGTTTTGTACCTGAAACACATCAGCTCTTAAGAACTCTTGCCGAAAGCAGAACACATAAAACAGTCTGTGCCCAAGGCATAATACGTTTCCTTGTCCATCTTGTAGAGACTGTTCTGAATGAACCTTCCTAGATTATTGAACTATTCTGTTATGTTTTTCATTTCCCCCCTCAAGCTGAAATCTAAATAAGACTTCAATCCTCGTATCTTTATTTCAATTCTTTCTTGTTCCAGTCAAGCGGTAAATAAGGCAGCATGGATACTGGGCTCCTACTGCAGCACAACATGCCAATGCTCCCGATCTGTTCTTCTGAGCTCCTGCCAGAGCCCCTTATTTAGATAATGCCTGTTGTTTCCTGTTGGATACATTCCAGTTCTTGATAGGTTCTCTCATTTCTCCCACAATAGAGCTTCAACCCTGGAATCCCATCTGCTTTTCCATTTTTCCAAAGGATTTAAGGAGAGTCACCCTAGAAAACAGTTGGGCATCTAGACTGGGGAATCCTTCCTTGAATTTTCAAAAATATAAGCTCAGCCTATGCTCTAGGATCTCTCTTTTTCCATTAGCTGTACTGCAATACTTTTAGTCACAATTCAGGTGGAAATGCACTTGCTGGAAAACCCAATTTGAGATGACATGCTGTCTGGGAGTTAAGGAGATCAATGTTTCTATGTTTTTACTGGATGGAATAATCACATTTTAAAGATAAATTTACTACTAGGTAAATTTACTACTAGGCGTGGAGTAGTTTCTTTTATTCCTTTCCTTGAGCTTATTCTTGTTTGTTACACTTTTCATTTAAAGTAGTTTTTTTGTAGCAATCTTATCCAAATCAGGCAGCATGAATTTATATGCTTATAGTGCTTGCAAAGATTCCACCCGTACATCTCAATAATACTTTGGGGGCTTGTGAGCTCATTAATTTGCAGAAAAGGATTCTATTGACCAGAGGAGACTCATAGATTCAGGGCAGAATCCTGTTTCATCATTCCCTTGCACAATAGTCCATTGTGTGAGCAATTATGGAGTTTGCATAGGGAAGCATTCTGTACTTCCTTAAACAGGCAGAAGCTCTGTTAGTGCAAACAGGCATTCTCTGTGATTACCCACTGTGTAGCAGAGTTCAAAAGTAATGATGACTTCTGGCCTCAGGCTCTCATAAGCAATCAAGTGTTTAGAAGTGCCATGCTAACCATGACCACCATAACCATCAGAGATCAAGTGTTTAGAAGTGCCATGCTAACTATGCTAACCATGACCACCATAACCATCAGTGTCATTACCACCAGTAAATATTTAGTGCTGAGGCAGCACATGATTCCATTATTGGTTGAAAGAACTTTGTCCTATAGGATGCACAGCCTGAAACAAGAAAAGTGATCCAGGTGTGAAAACATATTTCTGTGCAGTTTTTCCATGCAAGTTTGACATGAACATCCTATAGATCATGTTTGTCATTATCAACAGAAAATGGAGTTGGCATATTTATCAGCTTTTAATAGTCTTCAAACATATACATATTGCTTGGTGTGGGGCAAGTTATTTTCTATCAACTTCAGTTCCTTAGTTCAGTTCTAAATGAGAATAATATAGTAATGTATTAGCGTTTCCTGACAGAGAAACTCCTCACACTCACAATTAGAAGGCACCATGCAAGTATTCCATCTTTTTTTTTTCTTAATGGATTCTCCACAGTAAAAAAGACAGAAGCAGTGCTGGAAAAACAAGAGTGGAGGATGACATCATCTGGAATATCTGTAAAATACAATGGATGAGGCATGGCAACAGAGATGGCCTGGTACATTTTTAATTGGAGGTGTGCTGAACATGCAAACTGTCAACATTGGTTGAAGCAGCATTCTTTCAAAAAGCGATTCCTCCAGTGCTGAATTTACTTCTCTGTGGGAAAAAGAAAGAAGCAGTTGAGGTTATCCAGTGCAGCAAAGTATAACATTGTGAGCCTAGGGTCCTCTTAAACAAAGCAATTATTATTTCTATGAGTTTGAGCAAGGTTTACTCCCCATTAGCTTCTATGGCTGAAATCCTGTTGCTTAGCATTGTCAGTCATACTAGAGTAGACCTACTGAATCACCAGTAAGTCAACTCCTTTGTAAGTTCATTGATTCAATGGGCCTACTTTAGTTGAGAATTACTATACTGAAGTAATTTGTGATGAGTAGAAAGTGACTATGCCCCTTTCCTTAGATTTGAGCTGGCTGCTGTACCACATTATACTATGGGCAGGAACTCAAATGTTTATTTTGCCAGAGCAGTTCATATTGTTTCATCCCAGCAATTCTTGACTCCATAGGTTTTCTTCAATCCAGTTTTTCTTCTGCAAACTCATAGACCCCCTGTGCCTTGCCTTCACATTTTGGGTAAAGGTGCTTCACTCTTGGACCATAAGTCACCACAGGGCAAAATGAGCTTACTAGCCACTTATTCACTGGTTGATGGTTGTGTAGATGCCCTTAAGACTGTTTGTTTTGTAAAGCCATTCATATAAACAGGAAAAGGGGAAAAAGTTACAGTAGTAACTTCTAGCAGTGATCATGACTTACTATGTATCTATTTTATGATTTATGGAAATGTTGAATCTTGATTTTGTGAATTATTTTATTGTTATTGTACATCAATTGTGACATCTAAAGGGGCTAGCAGTTTGTAAATATTAATAAACAGAAAAAATGTCAGAGTATGGGTGTGTCCTTAAAAATAAAAACAAGGAAATGGCTTAAGGGAGATCTGCTTTGTTTTCGGTTTAAAAGAAAGGGCGAGGCCCGCCATTGGCCCACACCCACCACAGTGGTTTAAGCGATTTTGGCAGCTCTGAGTGAGAGGAAAACAGCGGGCCAGGGATTCGGCGCTCAATGCGCTTATTCGCCCCCCTCAACGTGCGGGACAAGCAAAAGGAACAGGAGCGACCCTGTCCCCAGTCTGCCTGGGGGAGGGAGGGGAGGCAAACACGAAAGCACGCGCGTTTCCCCGCCAAAAATCGTTAGGCCAGGCCTACCAGCTCCTCCGCGCCCCCTCCCCCACTTTTCCTCAGGTGCGCGCTTGTGGCGCCTGGATGCGATTACCTCCATTTCGGAACTGAGGCGGACTCAGACATAAAGACTGCTAAGCTTAGCCTCCACACTGGCCCTCACAACTTCGCCTCCCTTGCTAATTCCTAGCTGTGCGGACCCAGAGCGACGGTCGCCGTCTCCTTCTCTTCTGTCTCCCTCTTGCAAACACCTGCAGCTTTCTTTTCTTTCCTCTTCTTTCCTTTTTAACCATGTGGTGGTGGGGTATTCAAACTCTTGCCTTTTTTCTTTTCCTCTCTCCCTCTCTCTGGCGAAACTGGCTTTGCTCGCTTGCCTCCTTTTCTTTGGTCCTTTCACTAAATAAATACAGCTGATCCAAACCCGGCCCCTCCGCACGTGCCAGAAGAATAAATCGCCCGCCTCAGCCGCAATCCCTACTTTCCATCTCCTCCCTCCTGTTTTAAGTCTTCCCCCTACTGCTGTGTTTGCTTATTCTTACTGCAGCTGTGGGGTTGCTAGAGAGAGAGAGAGAGATGACCTATGGTCTGGCTTGCCTGGTGTTGCTAGTGTTCAGCCCCCCAGCCTCTTTGAAATCCAGAGTTGTAAACCCTCGCTGCTCGCTTTTTCATGTATTGTACTGTAGCACTTGTCTTTTGTTGCTAAGTGCAAACACAAACACACGCGTTCTTGCAAATAGGAAGGGGGTGCAGCAGCCCCTTTGCAATATATTGCCCTGTCCAAAGCCTACGGGTTAAAACAAACATCAACAGTGCGTCAAATAGTTTGCCCGTAAGACTCTTTTGTTATGAAGATAAGCTTGTTATCTCTTTCATTCAGATTTTAATCTGACAGGTCATTTGCATACTGCCAGCTGACTTCAGGGCGTGCATTAGATCCACTTTGCATTTAAATCCTCTGTCACTCAGCAAAATTAAAAAGAGAGAGAGTAAAAGCCCTTCTTTCAGTTCCATTACTTTTTGTCTGGATGTAATCGACTAAAAGGAAGCGGTTTCTCCCAATCTCCTGAACATCTCTGTTTATTTTCGTTGCAAGCCCAAAATAGACATAACTTGTTAGATTTGAAATGGCTAGAGAATAAGAAGTCTATAAACTTACCATGTCTCCAGCTTTACACTTTGAGAAATTATAATAAACAAACAACATGGGTGCACTGAAGGTGAAGTGAACTCTCATATAGGCAAAAGTTATTAACAGTAACAACCAAATATTCAGACAGCCAACTGAGGGCAGGTGTGCACTTCCCATGGAAACAAAACTAGATACAGTTAACTCATCAGTTTCTTGCTTTGCCAGGCTAAGAGGCCAAAAATCGCTCTTTAAATAACAGAATGAATGCCAAGGCTACTTTGGCAGGATAGCTAACGTTTTGTACCAAACTCCTACTTTCTTTGTCTCCCATAAAATCACTCTACTCTGCCTTGCATATGAGAAGAGCATTTCAAGACAAAGGTTACCAGAAACAGCAAATTAAAAACAAAAACACTCTTAGATAAAAAGTAGTTCAGTGTTAAACTTCACATGAATCCCTATGAATGACATTATTCCATTTCATTCATACTGCCAAATTCTATGAATAAAAGGCAGTGTTACCCCCCAATAGTAATGACTGAAATCAATGGAACATATAAGTTGTGATTCACATGATCCATTCATTTCAACAGGTCTATGCTACCTGGGACTAACATTTGATTTAGCTTCATATGTTTTCTTGCTATATCATAATAACAATATCCACTTGTCTTTCAAATAAATGAAGCATATTAATAGACATAACACATTTGTCTCTGGCTATATGTCTTTTTTTGCTTTTCATATCACACTAAAACTTGGGAAATACATAGAGGCATGAACATGCATATATTAGAGTACACCACACACATTCATATACAGTGGTGCCTCACATAGCGATGTTAATTGGTTCCAAAAAAAACATCGCTATGTGAAACCATCGCTATGCGAAACACCATTTCCCATAGGAATGCATTGGAAACCGGTTAATCCGTTCCAATTGGAACGGATTGCCGTCCTTAAGCGAAAAAACCCATAGGAAACATCGCTAAGTGAAACAATGTATCCTCCATTGGAATGTATTGAAGCTGACTCAATACATTTTAATGGCTTTGCGAAGTCAATTTTTGCAATTTTAAATGTGTCATACAAGGGTCAAAAATGGTTTTAAATGCTTGGATTAGCTTCTGCACCCTCTAAAATGGATGCAAAAGTTAATTTGGCTTTGATCTGACTTTTCATTAATTTATGGTGAATTTTCCCCCCAACTTTTGACAGCTGTCAAAATCTGACAGCTCCATTATTTCCTATGGGGGAAGAAAAAATTCACAAAAAATTAATGAAGACTCAGCAACTGTTCTAAATTCTTGGGTTCGTTAGAGGACCCCCTAAGTTGTGTGCAAACCTGATTTGGCTTTTATCTGAACTTTTGTTAATTTTTTGTAAATTGTTTTCTCCCCCATAGGAAAGCATGGAGCTGTCAGATTTTGACAGGTCCATTGGTTCCTATGGGCCAAAAAAAAAAATTCACAAAAAATTAACGAAAAGTCAGATCAAAGCCAAATCAGGTTTGCACATGACTTAAGGGGTCCTCTAACGAATCCAAGCATTTAGAACCGTTTTTGACCCTTCTAAGACACTTTTTTAATTGAAAAAAACATCGTTAAGTGAAGCAGGGGACCTAAAATCGCATTCGTTATGCGAAGCATGGTCCCAAACTTCGCTAAGCGAAAATCGCCCATAGGAAACATCGTTATGCGATGCATATTATTTTCTAAAAAACCACATCATTATGCGAATTCATCGCTAAACGAGGCAATCGTTAAGCGAGGCACCACTGTATTAGAATTCCTTGTATATTTCATTCTGTCGGTGAATGGAGCTGTGTATGTAGCATGGCGTGGCCTCTGCCCCCTACACTAGTCTGCTGCCCCAGAAGTAGTGAAAAATGCTGGAGAAAATAATCTGCACCCTTCGGCTCAGGCAATTACCTCATTCTGTCTCATGGTAAGGGATAGTCCAGTTCTGACTGTCACCAGTCTGGAGTATATTAACTGGAGAGCACAATAATTCCCCTGGAAAAGCCAGCATTGTCTACTTTGATTATCAATGGATCTCTCATGTGCCAGGCCGAAGTCTTTCTTTCCCAGTTTGTGTGAGGCTCTTTCAACTGAGTTTCCTGGGCATAAACCTGCAGCCTTCTTCCTCTGAAGTACTAGTTCTGTCCACTGATTTATCAGTTAGATGTTCCCAATATCAAAATAAAGATACACAGAAAGGAAATAACTTCCATGGAAGACCACAAGTCCTTTACATGGATAGTAGAGCCCTCAGCAAGAAATGGCAAAGGCAGCTATTTAGAATGGTGGTAAATTTGCGCTAAAACTATTTCCTCACGCTGTAACTGCACAGGAATGTGTGGGAAATTGCACATGAATAGGACAAATCGAATGACACACTTTAAATGAAAGCTGGAAATTATTATTATTTTTTTACATCAACTAAAGAAACAGCCAGATTGTAAAACATCCAGCCTATGGTTGTCATTACAGATCTGGTTAATGGTTTAAAATTAATTGTAAGAATTGTATTTTTATATATGTTATTTGGATGTGTTTTAAGCTATGTAAGCCACTCTGAATAGATGCTGTCTAGAGGGGCGGGGTAAAATCAAATAAATAAATAAATAAATAAATAAATAAATAAATAAATAAATAAATAAATAAATAAATAAATAAATAAATAAATAAATAAATAAATACATACATACATACATACATACATACATACATACATACATACATACATACATACATACATACATACATACATACATACATACATACATAATGGGTTCTCCCAAAAAGAAGAATGTGATGAGGAAAGGTGAAATTTAGAAACTACTTTATTAATATCTGAAATAAACTGAAATCATGTTTTTAAAAATAAGTCTATTTAGTCAGTCCTCCATCTCAACTACTTCTATGTGCTGAGTTTTCTTAATCATTAAATAAAATAATTCATTACATCATTAAAATAAAATAATTGCATAGCTGGACAAAATTTTGCCCACCTAGTTATAGCTGTTTTGCTTCTAACCTGAGATGCTGTATAGGAGGGGCTGGGGTAATTGTCTAGCCAGCACTAGTCAACCATTTCTTACATCCTTAGAACTGTTTGTTGAGTGTTTATTTTCTCCTCTATTTAGTCTGTTGGTGGGCAATTGTTTGTTTGTTGTTGATATGTTCAGTTAGTTGCCAAGTATGTGTCTAGTAAAGAAAGCATCATACACAAGTCAATTTCTAGCAACTGTAAGTAAAGAAATGTTTTTATTATTTCTTTTATAATTGTCACAGAGTGAGTAACTGAAACTGTAAGTGTTAGAAAGTGATGGACTCTGGGGAACTTGTAATTATTTTCTTCTCTGTACTTATACTGTGTAGCAAAAGGAATTATACCAAAAATTCTGCAACAGGTTATGGGCCCAGAGACCATTGGAACAGACAGAAAGCTAACAAGTATTCGTTAGGTTTTGACATTTTCGAAACTGTTTGTCATTTTTATTTACCCTGCCCCATGTTTTAACCAAAATAACATGTCTGAAAAGAGAAAGAGGTGTTTCTTTTTCTGAAATTACTAACATACATGCTCAGAACGAGAAAGAGGAAAAATGGATCTGATCACAGCAAGTTATTTTTGGGGAACTTCCAGAGTTCACCCCAAAATAACTCTGAATTTCTCACAGTAGAAAGAAAGGCTGCCATTTAACCTCAGACCTTTAAATGTGCATGGTTGTTCACAAAGACCAACAGATGCATAGGCAAAAATTAAATGAGAAAATAAGGATTCTATAGGAAAAACAATAATTTCACAAAGCCTCTTAGATAAACAAATGGTATATATTAAAGGCTGCAAAACTATTTGCCAACCTAGCTTCACAAGCTGATGGGAATCTCACCAAATATGGAGAAGTTCAATATATTCGCGAAGGAGAAGTTCCCCCATTTGTTCAGGGCTTTTTACATCAAAACTAGCACCTGGAAGTGAGCTCAAAACCAAATTCGAAGCTGGTACAGTTGTTTCAAAACATATTGCACCTGAAGATATTTCTCAAGGGCTATCTGGATGAACGTGGTTACACAAAGCTTGAGAAACATACATTCTTCTTCATGGCCTCTGTGAATGCACACAATTGGGTTGTTCTGCACCTGCGCAGGATGTTTCAGAAGTTTCTAGAGCTTAAAAACATGTGATAATGAGATGTTCTCCCATGGAGTGCATGCTCCGCCCTCCCAACGTCCCCTCAGCTATCCAATCATTCCGACCCCTGGTGTCAGTATCAGCACACCAAGCCCAGCACCTCCTCGGGGTCATGGCATCTACCACAGTCGTCATTCAACATGCACAACTCAAAATGAGATCACTACAATTGTGGTTCCTGTCATTATTCGACCCCATAACAGATCACCAATCCAAACGTCTCACAGTAACACCAGAATCTGTCAGTCAACTTACCTGGTGGACGTTCCTCCCTCATTTGATGGTAGGCAGACCCTTCCAACCTCTACAGCTCTCCATACAAATCACTACCAATGCCAGCCCATCGAGATGGGGAGCTCACTGTCGACATCACAGGATACACGGTCTGTGGACAAAATGAGAACAATCATTACATATCAACCATCTAGAACTTTTAACAATCATCAAAGCCTTTCATGCCTTCCTGCCACTCAATGCAGGAAGAGCAGTACAGATAGCTACAGACAACACCACAGCGCTGTACTATGTCAACAAACAAGGAGGTACCCACTCCCTATCTCTCCTATATCTTGCTATAGAACTTTGGGAATGGTGCTACCTGCACCACATTTTCCCACTGGCCGACCACATTTTTACAGACGACAATTGTCTCGCAGAGCACCTCAGTTGTCTTCCCACAATGACACATGAGCGGGCACTGAACGATGAAGTCTTCAACCTTCTCTGTCATTGATGGGGTGTTCCATCCATCGATCTCTTTGCCTGCGAGACCAACACCAAATGCCAATATTATCGCTCTCGAGCCGGCATCGACCCAAAATTACTGGGTGATGCGTTTATGGTAAACTGGACCAGAGAACTGCTCTACCTGTTCCCACCAATCCCTCTCATTAAACCATCAGTCATTTGACTCCGACAATCCCACGCCAACGTGGCCACAACAACCGTGGTTCACCCATCTGAGATCGATATCGATCGATGTATTCCATCTCCCATCGATAACCAACCTTCTCACACAGAACAATGGGATGATCCTCTACCCCAACATCCGCTCTCTGAATCTGACAGCCTGGAGAACACTCCCACCATTCAAAACGTCCTAGATCGAGCTCCAGTTTCACTTAGCACTCTACTGATCTTTATTCTCCACCTCTTCGATCTCAGACTATCTCACTCGAACTTGAAGGTTTATATTTCAGCTATTGTAGCCCATCAGCTTTCTCATTCCAAATCAGCAAAACTTTTCTTACATCCTACCCTAAAAAGATTCCTCAAGGGACTTCAAAATATTCGACCTCCAAGACAACAATCTCTGCCTCAGTGGTCCTTACAACTAGTCCTCAATTCCCTCACTAGACCACCTTTTGAACCAATGGCCACCGGTAATCTTAAGTTACTGTCTCTAAAGACAGCGTTCTTTGTGGCAATAACATCTGCCAAATGTGCAGGTGAATTAGCCACTCTCATATAAGACTCACGTTATCTCCAATTCCATCCAGATAAAGTCACCCTATATTTTGATGTATCGTTTTTACCCAAAATTGTCTCGGATTTTCATTTGACTCAACCACTGATTTTGCCAACTCTGTTTCCTTCTCCTTCTACACCTATCGAGCACATGCTCCACATGCTGGATATTAGACGGTCTTTGGCTTTCTATATTAATAGGATAAGGATATTCAGGAAGTCGCCAAGACTCACTCTATTTCCAAGGCCCTCACAAGGGTGCTCCGGCCTCATCTCAAACAATTTTTGCTGGATTGTTCAAACAATTTCATTGGCTTACAAGTTTTCAGGCAAGACACCTCCTGAACACTTAAAAGGTCATTCCACCAGAACACTATTAACTTCCACTGCTCTTCACTGTGGAATAGAATTACCACACATTTGCCAAGCAACTACCTGGTCTACTCCTTCAACTGTCCATTCCAGCAGGTCTAGCTCCCCTAACTGAATTTCTATATCTGTTGCTCTGCATCTCTGTGTGTGTCTGCTCCCTCTACCACTACAGTATTCCTTTCTTCCTTCTTTGGAAATGAGAACACATATGGTCCTTCTTCTTTGTGTCGTGTTGCTCACTCTCCTTCTCTCTCTCTTCCTCCTCCTCTGAACCCCCAACTCCGCTTCTTTCCTGCCTTTTCCTCCCACTCTATTGTCATCAAGAAACCTTCCACTACCAACTATTCTCCACCCTCTTTTTTCTTTTCCACCCTCCCGATAGCCTGACCTCCCTCTAAAGACATTTCTTGCACCATCATGGGTAAGTTATGTAACACGGTGTCGCCTCCTTCCTCCTGAGATGATTGAGGGGATGTCTCACCTCCAGGTACGATCGCTTTAATAGTTCCTCTTCACAATTCCCATTAGCTTGGAGAATTTAGAAGGTGAAAAAAATGGATAATAGTTGATAAAGTGGGAGAATTAGGCATTAGTTCCACTGAAATCCAGGGAAAAGACTACTCATTCCTGACGGTGTGGATTAATGGTTCCATAGCAAGGAGTCACAGTACACTTTTAGATTTTAATACCTCTCTCCATTATAATTTGCTTATAGCAAATGTGTTTGCTAACTAAAGATTTATTAAATTTGCTATTAAAAGCTCCTAATGTAGTTTACCACTTTGGAAAATAATAATATAATAACCTTAGAACTGCAGAGCTGGGAGGGACTTTATGGATCATCAAGTCCAGCCGATCAAGGATACACAGTGGGGAAACACTCCAAAGCCCAAACTGTGACTCCACAACCAAATACCTAAAATCATTGACCAGAAATTCTAAATTGACCAGCAGTTCTAAAGTGGATAAATCAGTATCAGGGATATAAGGGAATGTTTCTGCTCAAACTCTTTTTCTGTAGCCACTATCCAGTCCAAGAAGGAGAGGTTTGATGATTTATTCATTAATTTATTATTTATTTTATTTGTTTTATTTATAGATTGCCTTTATCCCGATAAGGGGACCAAGGCGGCTCACAATAATGAAAGAAGAGAATTAAAAACACAATATGTTAAACATTTAAAAATAAAATAAACCATACACTAATTAAAATACAATCAGCTTCCATGAATATCAATCTTGTTTTAAGTTTTTTAGTAGAGGGAGGGTTTCAGCTTTAAAGGAGAAGGAGCAGGAGGTCCAAGGCCCCTTCTTGAAGAAGAAGCTAGGGCAGGTATGTCTGGGTAGACGTTTTGGTGGGGGATTTTTTTTCTAGGCGGACCGTAATTTTCCTGACCGCATGGTCTGATGGAGGGCAGGGTTTCAGCTTTAAAGGAGCAGGAGCAGGAGTGCGCGCCTAACGGCATGCAAAATTCTCTAATTCTATTTTTGACCCTAATTTAGAAAACAGGAAAGCCAATTAGCATTGCATACACCTGGGGGTAGGAAACTTTTAAAGGGTCAGCTCATACTTCTGCACTATTAGGGAGCAAGCCGGGTAGGTGGGGCTCATCAGCCCTGGAAGGCAGCTCATCTAGGAGAAGGAAAACTTCGATTTCAAACCTCCACTGCCTTGTGGCTATATCCACTGTTGGAAAAGGCTTCAGGAGTTAACCTCGAGGAAAAATCCAGAGCTGGAGTCCCGGAAGCAGTTTGTGTTGTTCTGGCAACTCCTGCGACATCGCTGGAACCAGTTGTATTGGCTCTCGCCTTTCCACTGGACTATTTTAGCGATGTGGAGAGGGGGGAATTTGCTGCTTGGGCAACAGCCTATCCTCCATATTATTTTACGCAGACTTCGTGCTCTGGGGAGGACACTCCAGCTTCACATACAGCATCGAAACAACATGGGAAGTAGCAGTTACCGGTTATACGTGTTTGCTCAATTAGCGCAGAGCAGGATGTCAGGGGCTACTTCTGATGGTGGGAGAGGTAGATACCGGCCACCTTAAGCTGGGCAGCCACCAGCCAGTAAGGTGCTACCTCGCCACGGTTGTTAACTTCACAGGGTGTGTGGGGTTTAGGGTGAAACCCGACAAGCAGATCGATAACCGTGCACCATGCAACAATCATAAGAAAACTTCTGCCCTAAAGCCTGGCACCTGGAATGTACGGAAAATGACCCTGGCTTTTCTGACTATGGCTTTCATGATGACCTGCAGGAAATAGACGATGTGCGCAAGACAGCTGTCATTGACATGGAACTGAGTAGACTGCAGATGAACATTGTTGCCCTGCAAGAGACGAGACTGCCAGACTCGGGATCTGTCAAAGAAAAAAAACTTTTCATTCTTCTGGCAGGGAAAAGCATCAAATGAGAACAGGGAATATGGTGTTGGTTTTGCAGTCAGAAATACTCTGCTGGGATCCATTGTTCCACCTACTGTTGGGAGTGAAAGAATCCTTTCTCTGCAGCGCCACTCATCAGCAGGACCAGTAACCCTCATTAGTGCATATGCACCAACACTGTCATCCACTACAGAAGTGAAAGACAAATTCTATGACGATCTGGCAGCTACTATCAAAAAAGTCCCTGAGAGAGAGCCACTGTTCATTCTAGGAGACTTTAACACTAGAGTTGGTGCTGATCACAATTTTTAGCCCACTTGTCTAGGCCGTTTTGGCATTGGAAAGATGAACGAAAATGGCCAACACTTGCTGGAGTTTTGCTGTAATTATGGTCTTTGTGTCAGCAACACATTCTTTAATACGAAGCTTCAACACAGAGTTTCCTGGAGACATCCAAGATCCAAGCATTGGCATCAG